CCTGCTGGGATGTCAGCAATTCTGCGTAAGTCTTTCACATTTATCTAGTTATTTTAGTGGGATCATTTAAACCCTCTCTTGCTCTTCAGGGTGTCTCCAGTTATCCAGGACCACAGTGATTTTTGTAGAGTTCGCTTTTCCTGATCACATCTGGCTGTTAAACCACTATTGTTTTGCAACTCATTGCTCTGTTATTTTCAACAATGCCCTGGGACATAAATGTTTCTACAAACAAATTCAATCAAATTCCAACTCCTCTGCAAGACTAGTTCTGAGGTCATTGCTTGCTATGGTTTGCATTTGCAATGTCCTCAAAGGCTTGGTCTCCAATTTAGCAGTGTTCAGAGGTGGGGCTTTTATTGGCTCATGAGGGCTCTGACCACATCAGTGGATTAATCCATTGACAACTGAATAGACACCGGGAGGTGGAGAAATTGGAGGTGGGACATGGCTGTTAGAAGGTGGTTGCTGTGGGTTTGCTGTGGAAGGATTTTTTTTTTTTTTTTTTAGTCCCCAGACCCTCTTTCTTTCTTACTCTGGCTGCCTTGAGGTGAGCATATTCCCTCCACCATGCTCTTCTGCCATGATGTTCTGTCTCACCTCATGCCCAAAGCAATGGGGCTAGCTGACCATGGACTGAAACCTCTGGAACCATGATCCTCCTTTAATTTGTCGTTCTCAGGCATCTGTCATAGTGAACAGCTCACTAACAAACTGTTGGCACTACTACAGACCCAGTGCCCAGGGTGAGTGCAGCCTTCAGTATTCTCAAGGGTGCTTTTTTTTGGTCTTGAGCCTTTTATTCTCTGCTGCAGATGAAGCCAGTGTCTTTGGGAAGAGAGAAAGAACTATCCATTTTACATAAGGCCTGTTTCTCTACCCAGGACTCAAGCTGAGGGTAGGATTGAGAGCAAGTTTCTGTATAGGAGCAGAACAGGGATTGAGAGGCTGCCTGTCCAAAAGCACTGGGTTTTTACTTAGAGCAGATGCCCAATGTAACTGAAAGCAGCATAAAGCTTGGCAACTCTGCCTTCATTTTGTTTCCTTTGTCACCTGGTCAGCTCTGCATGTAGGCATGTTAATTATTTAGTGTGTTCATCTATAGACTAGTAATACAAAGTTTACTAGCCTTAAGTTCACCACCATAGATCTTGTCCTCCCTTCAAGACAAGATTTGCAGGGGCATCGATGATTAGCTTTTAACAGCATTCAGTTCCAGGTCTTCAGATGTTGTCCAGCTCCTTCCAGGGGCAGTGGAAGTAGAACAGTGGAAGCCTTGTAGACCGGTCGCCCTGTGATGAGACTGCTTCCCTAGAGGAACGATCATCTCATGGGAACTCATGTGTCCTGTCCTAGGATCCCAGGTCTGACAGACCGACCAGTGGAAATTGCCCTCAAGATAATAAGAGCTTTTTAGAATGATCAACTGACCACATATGACCAAGATTGCTTAGAGGAAGAACGGGGAAGGGGTGAACCTCCAGTTCCTGCCAGTGTTTGAACTCACTTTGCCTTCCCAATATGGCTACAGTGATTTAAGTTCTTTTCCTACTTTTCACTATCACCTCTTCTATTTGGTGTTTCAGGTGAGTGACAGGACCTGGTTTGTTGGGACCACTGGCTCAGTAATTGGGTAACAGAAACTGAGGATCGGGGGGTAGCCCTTTCTTCTTGACTGGACTTTCTTGGCCTGGGACCACTGTCTCATAAGCCAGGGCAACTGTAATCAGGGCCATGTTCTGGGTGTGGTCTCCTTGAATGGGGCTGGGTGGCAGTGGAGATTCCCACCTCTTAACCTCAGCAACAGGTGGCTGAAGGCAGGATGGACAATGCCCCTGTGCTCCTTGTTGGAGAAAGAACTATCTTGGGAGGTGGCAGGAGGACCATGATCTTGGCCATAGCAATCTGTTGTGGAGATTTACCTTGCTGGCTGGCAAGAAGGACAAGAAAAATCTTGCTTCAAATACCACTTGTCTTATTTTTTTTTTTTAAGTATTTTTTAGTTGTTGATGGACTTTTATTTATATGTGGTGCTGAGAATTGAACCCAGTGCCTCACACATGCTAGCCAAGTGCTCTCCCACTGAGCTACAACTCCAACTCCACTCATCTTTCTTATCAATTTTTTTATAGTTATCCTTGGATGGATGTTTCTTTATTTGCAGTTTGCTTTTAAGACCATTTACAGAGGCTCTGAGTTATTTTCATTGTTTTTTTTTTTTTTTTTGTAGTGCTGATGATGGGAACCCAGCATCTCATGCATACTAGCAAGCACTCTGCCACTGAGCCATACTACCTGCCCTCTAATGTTTATTTACAGATTTTAACTATTTAACATTTTTATTTTTTGGTAGTACTAAGGATTGAGCCCAGGGATAATTTACCATTTAGCTACATCAAGAGCCCCTTGTTTTATTTTTCATTTTGAAATAAGGTCTTAAGTTGCCCAGGCGGCCTTGAACTTGGGACCCTCCTGCCTTAGTCTCCCAAGTCACTGGGACTGCAGACTTGCCAATGCGCCTAGCAAGTGCATTCTTTGGATAACTTATCACCAGTCACACTAAGCGGCGGGTCAGCAGAACTCATGTTGTCAGTCTGAAGTGGATCTCCCCGCCTTCATTTCTGGAGTTATGCTCTATATACCAAATCTGAGCTTGACAGGTTTTTGTTTTGGTTTTATCCTTCAGTGCTTTAAATGTCATTTTCTTCTCTTTCATGATTTCTGTTAAGACTGCTAATCCATACTTTGCAATGTGCCTTAAAAAAAAAAAAAAAAAGAAGAAGACAGGGTTTTTGCTATGTTGCCCAGGTTGTCTTCCAACTCCTAGGCTCAAGTGATCCTCTCATCTCAGCCTCCCAAGTTAACTGGGACCACAGGCACATGATAGTTTCTCTACCTATTTTTGAGATTTTCATGAACCGTTGCTTTCAGCATTTTGAACATGATTTTCTAGGACTCTGGTTCTTTGATTCCCAATGTATTGGTGGTTGTATCTGTCTTGCATGCACAAGGCCCTAGGTTCCTATCTCTTATACTTCCATTTCTTTTCTTTTTTTTTTTGGTATAGAGGACTGAACCACTTGCTTGACCACTGAGCCACATCCCCAGCCCCTTTTAAAAATTTTATTTAGAGACAGGGTCTTAAGAGTTGCTTAGGGCCTAAGTTGAGACTGGCTTTGAACTTGTGATCTTTTCGCCTTAGCCTCCTGAGCTACTGGAATTACGGGTGTGGGCCACTGCACTGTTTGTCCCCTACCTCTTTTAGGACTCCAGTTCCACAGATGGCAAACCACATTTTTTAGTTCATATGCATTTTCCACATACACATATGTGTATACACAAATATGTGATATAGACACATGCACACAACATCAAGTGCAGACTTCATATTTGCTATTAATTCTGTCCAGGGTTCACACCATTTCAGCTCATGTTGTTGCTGTTGTTTGGCAGTACTGCCTTGTGCACGCTGGCCTTTTGTCTTTTTTGGTTTTTACATGTATTCCTTCACCTTGTTTATACTGACATCACTGAGAACATTTAAAAGACTTATAACGGTCCTTTTAAGTTTCTTATGGACTTATTGTGTTTCTTTTGAATCTGTTTCTTTCGACTGGAACTCCTCTTGATTACAGTTTGTTTTCCTTATTTTGGCAGAGCCTGGTAGCTTCTGACCATGTGCCCGTATTGTGGCTTGCACTTGGCTGAGGTGGGAAGTTCCTATATTTCTTTAGAGAATGCTGGGCTTTGTTCTATCAGCCAGGAAGTTGTGTGGGGTCAATTGGATTCCTCTGAGGCAGGTAATAAGCACGTTTCCAGTGCCTCACTACCTGCCTCCACTTCGCCCAGTTCAAACATCAGGTACGAACACCTTGCTGCTTTTTGGAGACTCAGTGCTTAGATTTATGCAACCTGTGCACAGATGAGAACTGAGCCAAGAAACAGAGGGGACTCTCAGTAGATCTCATCTCCAGACCTCTATGTACAAGCCCCTCCTGCCTGGAACTCTGACCCAAATCCCAGTTATTGTGGCCTCCTCAAACTCTGGTCTTTCCTCTGTTCAACAATGCTGCTGGGTTCCTGTCTCAGTGCTGGGACCTGGAAGCTGCCTCTAGGCAAAGAGCTGGTTGCCTAAGGGCTTACCTGTCTTGCCTTCTCTTAAGGACTACTACTATGCTGTTGGCATGCCATTGGTCCCTCTTATGTCCCTCCATTCACTCATCCTGGAACCTAATGTATTTGCCACCAAGAACTATCTGGAGGCTCCTGGTTACACAGGTGTTTCCTGACCCACTCAGCCACAGGTGTGCTTGCAAGAAGTTACTGATAATTCCTATTGCCTTGACTCTCCTTGTGTAGTTCATGATGCACACTCCTGAATGCTTGCTTATTCTTGCATTTCAGTAGTGGGTCCTAAATAATGCTACTGACTGTAGATGAAGAGCCAGAACTTGAGGCACTTTAACCTGTCATCCTGGATGATGACATGGTAAGTTTTTGTTGTTAACAGTGAACTAGCCAGGTATAGTGGTGTACCCTTGTAATCCCAGTGACTTTGGAGGCTGAGGCAGAAGATTGCAAATTCAAGGCCAGTATCTGCAATTCAGTGAGAACTGTTTCTTAAAAAAAAAAAAAAAAAAAAAAAAAAGGTGTGTGGGGGAGCTGGGGACACAGCTCAGTGGTACAATGCTCCTGGGTTCAATCTCTAACACTACCAAAAAAAAAAAAAAAAAAAAAAAGTCAATTTTTTACTACTCCCTTTTATAAATATATTGTTAGACATAGTGGTGCACATTCTCCCACTTGGGAGGATCACTTTGGTCCATGAGTTGAAGATCAGCCTGGGCAACATAGAAGAGCTAGGGATGTAGCTGATGCCACTCACAGGCTGAACAGTTGACTAGCATGCTCAAGGTCCTGGGTTCAATCTCTAGTATAAAAACAACCAAACAATAAAAACCGCCTCCCCAAATTAACAAAAAAGCAGTAATCTTTTCTGGTATCATTAAATTCATTTTGATTTTAATTTTTGTTGTTGACATTGTCTTCTGAGACAGGATCTATGTTGCCAGGCTGGTCTTGAATTTCTGGGCTCAAGGGATCCTTGGCCTCAGCCTCCTGAGTGCTAGGACCTCAGGTGTCACTGACCTGGCTCGTTTCGTTTTAATGGAATGAGTATGAAAGTTAAAAAGTTCAATAAAAATTTTTTCCACTGGTAGGGTCTTTTCTAGCTATTGTTATTTTATTTCATTTCACGATTAGTGATATTGTGGGAAGAGTCAAAAACAACAGGCTACCCAGTGGGGACTGATCTCATCAAGAACAGGTACAGCCCTAGGCCTGGGCTCTGATGAGGACAGCAACACTGGGGCTGTCCGCAGCTGCCCTAGGCAGCATACACACCTTGGGTCTTAGTCCCTCATATGGAAGTGGCACAATGGGTAGGACAGATCACCAGGCCATGCTGTGTCATGGAAGGACTGTCCTCAGGAGCCCTCCTCCCTCTCCTCTGTCCCCTCAAATTGGTTCCATCCTCTATTTCGTTTTGTTCCTGAGGATAAGCACTGTTGACCAGTACCCTCTTGAAGAAAAACCCAAAGAACCACATGGACGGTCTTGAAGGGTGAGTGACCTCCAGGGAAACGGGACAGTTGTTCCTGGTGGAGGAACAGCAGGGGCCAGGAAGTCCGAGGGCTCGGGGAACAGATGTTGGTGGGCAGGCTGAAGGCTGGTGAAATGGGAGCAGGGGAGGCTGCAGTTGACTACTATACCTGGAATTTGAATTACCTCTAGGCCTCAGTGTGAGGGTCCTTGTTGGGGTACCCAGGAATCCCTTTACCACTCATGCTCCCAACAGTTCCTGATATCACAGCTGGGGACCCTGTGGTTCTTCTTAGCAGCTGGCATGGCTCTACTGGACAGATGAGTAAGTTGAGGCCCAGAGGTGGGACTGGCTCCCAGCACAGCTTCAAGACTGTCCACAGGGAGAACAGGCCTGGGCAGGCAGGATTTAGGGTTTCCCACATGCGTACAGGCCCTAGCCCTTGGCCCCTACTCAGCCCCCACCTCAGCCAGGAGATGAAGCCGGTATCCCTGAGGGACTTCATCAGGGTCCCTGCCCTCTCAAGGGCACTCTCCTGCCGTGGTCACAGCCCAGCCTGTTTCTCCCTTCGCTGAACCATCCTATGAACAAAGGGATGTGTTGTTCTTCCTCCCACCTGGAAAAAATAAAACAAAATAAACAAAGGAAAACTCCCAATTCTGTACCTCCTCTGACTATCCACCCACTTCCTGGTGCAGTCCCCAGAGTTGCCAGGACCTGCAGCCCCCCCAGCTGGCCCCGACCCTATTGTCCCACAAACCAGCTCCCTCTGGGCTGTCAAGTCACCTTGGTGCAGGAGCTTTGTAGCCAGCTCCTGGCTTTGTTGACGACAGCAGCCCTGCCTTGGCCTGCCTCTCCCAGCCCTCTGACCTCCAGATGCCAAGAGATTGGGAGACGAGGGAGCTACGCAGTGCTCTAGGAGGATATGGACACTAGACAGCAACCAGGTGGCAGCTCCATGTGGGTGTTCTGCAAATTGCCTAAAGAGATCTCAGAAGAAAGGGACAAGCTGGGATTCCTTTTTTCATTTTAAATACTACTCACTTTGTTATCAATGTATATACCCAGTTGAATATAATTTATCTTTTTAGTCTAGATCACAACCTTTCCAAAGTGTAGATGGGAACCTGCCTAAAGGCCACACGTGACCCTGCCCTGCTGACCCTCTGCTCTGTGCTGCAGGGGCCTCTGATCTCAATGAAGCTGCTGAGGGTTAATCCAACACGTCCTTGTCCCTCAGGTGAACTGCTGAGCCTGCCCACCCAGTCTTGTGGCTTCTTGGCATGTCCACGTGAAGCTGTGATGATCCAGTGGTTGTGTCTCCTGCTGACTGCTCTGTCCTGGTGCTTGGGCCAGCCCAGCACATGGAGGTCCATGAGGGCACCAGGAGCCCTAAGCTGACATCAGCCCTGGCTCCCGGGGAGACACATCACCCACTTGTCACTTCCCACCACGTCCACCCCCCCCCCCCAAGCAGAAAGCAACCAGACTGGGTCTCCTGCTGTACTAATGTATTCCATCTTTCAAAAAGAAAGACATGATTTTAATATTACTTAACAATATGTTAAAAAGTAGCCAGGCAGGCCTCCGTGTCAGTACGGTCGCACGCTCTAGAACAGACATGATGGTGTGAGTACTGGGTGGATTTCTTGTTTTTAACGTTCTCATTCTGCAAGGGGTCTTACACAAGCTGGCTACGAGTCAGGGGATCAAACACAAACAGTGCAACGTGTACACTTGGAAACAGTAGATCATGAAGAACGGAGGCCTGCCCGCCCAGCCCGCCTTGATGGGACGCAGGGCACATGGGAGCTGAGGGATGGCGACACCCAGCGGGACAGACATCAGGATGGGCGCGATGCAGAGGCAACGGAGCACGCGTATGCTGCACTCATCTCTGGCCATGGCCCACACCTCTGAGGCCGCGGTGGTGGGAGGAACTGGTGGGAACTACTGTTCCAATCCGACTGCACAGAGCTACAATCAAAGAAGTCTCACTCACAGACTACACGCACACGAGCTACAACGCGGGTCGAGCAGCAAGTTCTCGGTCTGGGTCTCAGGCTGCGGCGCCCCACCCTGCCCTGCCCTGGGTGGACACGGCAGCTCTGGGGGGCCGGCGAGGGGCTCAGCTCTTGAGGTGGCACAGCCTGGCCTCCTCCCGCGTGTCCCTCTCCATGTGGTCTTTGTTCAGTGGGCAGCAAAAGTGGCTTTTTTCAAGCTAAAGTTGGACCAGTTGATGGATAGTCTCTGTCGGGTCTGTCTAGCGGAGTCCAAGCAGAACCTGCAAAGACAAGAGGCTGATGAAGGAGGCAGCCCCCACCCAGGCTGGGGCCTGGCCAACCTTGTCAGCCCCAATCTTGCCAGAAACTCACTGGAGGTGGGTGTGAGTCAGGGAGTGGGATCTGAAGCCCAGGACTCCCTCCTTGCCCTGGAGAATGGGAGGCAGGGGCCCCATTTTCAGGACACTGACCACATGGCCTGTGTGGTCTCTGGTGCTTTTTGTTTTCCACCTCATGCTCCAGGAACAACCAGGGTTCCTTCAGAAAGCAGCTGGCTCCACATGGGGGAAGGCAGAGGCAGCACTGTTAAGGGATACAGGCCTCCTTCAGCTTCCTCACGGGAAGGTGCTCACTGGCTCATCTAAGAACAGCTGCCATTGGCTAGCACCCTGTCCTTCTTGATGTGGCTATGGCAAGGATAAGGACAAAGGGCTGGGAGGGTCACTACTTCCTTAATCCAAAGGCTACTACTTCAGATACAGCTTCCTGGGGAGCAGGTGACAGTTTGGCAGCAGCTGGGCAGGGTGGGAGTGGGGTTTGCAACCGTGCTCCTCAGACAAGACTGGCAGGGCTGATGGGAGGATGACAGGACTGGAAGATGTCTTGAGGCAGGACTCCAGGGTGGCAATTCTGGCACTTGTTGGCAGGGAGCGGGCTGTGTTAACACATGCCCTACAGGCTCTCGTGTGTGGCCTAAGCTCCCCATGAGGACAGGAAAGAAGCCACCAGCTAGCTCCATATCTCAGTCCTTGTAGCTGGGCAGGCAAGGGGACAGCCACAGCTATCCATAGCTGGGAGGGCAGATGGAAGCAGCTCTGCCTGAGCCTTGCCCACATGAACTGCTGGGAAGGGCTCCACGGCAAGCCTGAGGCCACAGCTATCAAGGATTGTCGGGGTTGACCCATGTGTTCTGTGACAGGCCAGCAGTCGTGACAAGTGCACACCCTCCACAACAGCCCAACAGCAGTGGGCAGCAAGTGAGCACAGATGAACACCAGCAAAGTTCTATTCACACAAAGAGTAAAGTTGTGCTTTGTATAATTTTCATGTGTCACAAAATTTTCATGTGGGGCTGGGGCTGGCACATAACCTAAACTAAGGACAATGCTGGGATCTCTGCCTGTCTTAACTTACTCAGGAATTCACACTGTCACGAGGACTCATGACAGCGAGACAGGGTTACAGCACTCTACCCTGCACTCCTGTCTCAGAGGACATGTCCCCTGCACAGACTCAGGCCAGCCTCTAGGCTCACTGTGCTCTGGTCCATAAACACTGCATACTAAACAGCTTTTGAGAAAGTCTATACTTGGCCTCATTTCCCAGGCAGCAAGAGCCAACTTCGTATTAAATGAAGTAAAGAACATTTTCTTTTGTTTAAAACCCTTGTGTAATTTTGCAGTTCTCATCATTCCAACTCTAACTTAGGTAGCAGATCTGAAAGTGAAACAGGAGAATGGTGGTGGTGTCTCTCATTCAATGGACAAATGGAATTTGCTTAAATTGTGGTTCAATCATTTAACCGTAGACATTTGTGTGTCCCCAACTGTGTGTTGCTGGCCAGTGGTCTCTGCCCAGGTAGAGGGAAAGCTGAGGTCTACTAGGGAAGGGTGGTGCCATCTCTCAGAATCCAAGAATCCTTCTCCCTGGCCACAGCAGGTCAAGCCTTGTGTATGTGATGTAAACTTCTAAACTTTCTGGAAACTTCTACTTCTGCCTCTACTGTCTCCTTCAAATGGCAAGTGCTTCCAGATCGTCTCCATTAGTGTGACACCCCCACCCCCCGCCATTCTGTTCTCTACATAGCAATTAGAATACTCAAAAAAAGAAATCACATCCCGGTTCAAAGCAAATCAATGAAAAACCCTAATCTAAGCCACACCAAGGCTTCCAATGGGTATCTAAATTCTGCGCAGTAAACCCAAGCTGTTCCCCAAGGACCCTGGGGCCAGTGAGACCAGACTGTACTGCCTCCCCATCAGGCCTGCATCAACTCTAGACTGCATGCCGGTACCAGGCACAAAAAATAGGCACACAAGGTCACTAGGATGCAGCGTGACCCAAGTGACTGCCCTCAGTGCTGGCAACCCCAGTGCCCTGCTGCCCTCTCCCAGGGGTGCAGTCACTGTTCTGGCATTTGTGTGATTAGCCTCTCTCATAGCAGCTTGGTCGTGAGGGTTTGTGAGCTTCTAGAGATGGGAACGTCCTGGGTGGATGTCTTCTTAGTGCCTCTTCCACTCAGCACACTCTGTGAACTTCCTCCATGAGCCTGCCCGTTCTGTTGCTGGATGAAGATGCTGCTCAGCTTGCTCTTGTGCTTCCTGGGGTGCGAGTCCAGGAGCCCCTTGAGGTGTAGAAGCTGTGGAGCTGCCTGTTGGGTCACGTGGGACATACACTTCAGTTTCACCAGATTCTGCCCTTTTTTTTTTTTTTGTTTTGTACGGGGCCTGAACTCAGGGGCACTTTAGCACTAAGCCACATCCTCAAGCCTCCTTTTTGCATTTTATTTAGAGACAGGGTCTCACTGAGTTGCTGAGGCTGGCTCTGAACTTGCAATCCTCCTACTTCAGCCTCCTGAACTGCTGGGATTACTGCCGTGCACCACTGTGCCTGGCTGTCCAACTCTTTTCCCAAGTGATTTACTTAGTTTATACTCCTGGGAGCAGAGTAAGGATTTGCATGGCTCCAGGCTGCCCTCCCCCCGCCCCCCACCAGAGATAGAGGCCACTCGCTGGCTACAGTGATGAGGTCACAGCACTTTCCTGGACAGGATGAGACATCCCTGTGCTTGCCTGACTGCGTGTATGCTCTGGGAGCCTACTGGTTTCCAACGGGTTTGTCTTTTTTCTCTGTTCTATAATGTTTATACTTCCTGATACCATTCCTTGTGATGTGCTACAGACACTTTAAGGCAACTCCTCAGCCTTTAAGTAGTATAATTTATCAGTGCTGGGGACTGAACCTCAGATTTGCACAATGCAAAGTACATGCTCTACCTTGGGCTACAACCCGAGCCACTTCACATTCCATTCCGAGACAGGGTCTCACTTTGTCACCTAGGCTGACCTCAAACTCTTGGGTTCAAGCAGTTCTCCTGCCTCAGCTTCCTGAGTGGCTGGGCCTACAGGAACATACCACTGTGGTATTTTATGGTTTGTGTTTTTAAGAAATGTTTCCCTACAGAAATATATTCACCTTTATTTTCTCAATTACAAATTAAGAGGTTTGCCTTTTTCTTTTCTTTTTTTTTTTTTTTTTGGTGCTGCTGATCAAACCTAAGTCATCGCACATTCTAAGCACTCCATCTACTACTGAGCTACATCCCAGTCAAAAGGTTTGCTTTTGACATTTAAAATTTTAAACCATCCGGAGTTGACCTGAGCACGGTGTGGGGTAGGGTTCCAACCTCTTGTTTTTCCCATTTGGGTAACTAACTACCATCTATGAATACTCCTTCATTTCCACAGCAACCTATTTTCACAGGGATGTTTCAAGGCTCCATATTCCCTATCAATTTTATCACTATTTTAAAAGCCAAGACTTTCTAAGTTTTTACGCTCTGCAGGAAAAGTGGTCTTTCTTGTCCCTATTCTATTCCTCCATTTTTTCGGGGGGGATAAAATGAAACACATATAGAAGGGTAAACAAAACAAATACATAATAAAGAATAAGTACAAAACAAACACTGTGCATCAAAGAGCCCCCACAAACACTGCCAGCAGCCAGGGGATGTTCCCCAATGCCTTTGTAGGCCACAGCCTACCTTCCTCACTCAGAAGTAATCATTCTGACTTTTTATGGTCATAACTTCCTTTCTTTTCTTTATAGTTTTAACACACATGTATGCACCTCTGAACAAGATACTTCATAATAAAATCTACTGTGGTATGATTTAAATCTACTGTGGTATGATTTATGTGCAATAAAAAAACTGCACAGTTAGTACAGAGCTAATAAATGCTAACAAATATATCCATTATTTCTACAAAACTCTCATATTCCCTACCCTCCTGCTTTGTCTAGGCTAGTAACAATATGTTGTCTGTTACTGGGTGAAACTGTATTTTCTGGAATTCCACACCAATGGAACCTCATAGCATGCCTTCTGTCACACAGCAAGCTGGTCTGGATACACCTCCCTATTTGCCTTCATGTGGCACTAGCAGTGGCTCCTACTCATTGCTGAGTGTTCTACTGGGAGATGCACCAGGCACCCATCCTCCTTCTGAAAGATGTTTGGGCTGGTCCCAGTTTTTGGTTATTATAAATAAAGTGTGACCAAGGCTGTGTGTGGGCACAGGCCTATGGTCCTCTCAGGCAGATACCCGAGAGAGGAGGTAGGTAAAGCGGACATACCTGCAATCCAGCTACTCAGTGTGCTGGAGCTGCACAGGAGTAGGTGCACAGGCCACTTAGGTGGTAGCTCCAGTTTGCTTCTCTTTGTTGCTATGCAGCATTCTACTGTGTGACTATCACAATTTCTTCTTTTAACAAGTTCCACAAAACTATGCTTGTATCTACAGACTGGAAACTCAATAGCTTTACAGAAACTTTTCCTGTCTTTGAAAACGATCTGTGGTTTAGGTCTTTATTATTTTTCAGTAAAGTTCCAGGCTTCTGTGCACAAGTCCCATACAACTTTTGTTAGCTTTATTCATGGGTCCTGCAGAGATGGTGGTGTTATTATAAATGCTGTCTTTTTTGTAGCTGCATCTTCTACTTATTAATGGCATAGAGAATACCAAATAACTTCTGTGCTTCTCCTACACAGCCAGCCCCAGCTGTATGTTCTTTTTTGCATGTACTGTGCAGACAACTAGAGCAACTATAAGAGAGTTTTATTTCTTCCTTTCCAATTCTCAGTCTTCAATTTCTTTTCCTGTCTTACTGTGCTGGCCAGGAATTCAAGTAGTAATAAGAGAGCATCTCTGTTCTGCACATGCTTCCACATTCTTTCCCTTTAGGAAACTACTGCATACAGGTTTCTTTTTCTTCTCTTTTAGCAAATCACTTACTCAAGTTAGTCTGTTACCTTTCCATTTAATATTGCAGCTCTATTGCTAGCTTTCTATTTTTTCTTTTCCATGTTAATTACAAACGGGTGCTGAAATTTTGTCAAATGCCTTTTCTGAATCTACTAAACAGCTCTCCTTTAATATATTAATGTAGCAAATAGTGAATGGGTGTTTGAATATGAACCTCTGCACTCCTGGGCTAAGCCCAACTGACCGTGGCACACTGTTTTAGAAAACACACTGTTGGATTTGGAATGAGAGTATTTTCCTTAGGATTTCTGTAATCATTATTCACAAGTTAGACAAACCTATAAATTTTCTTTTTTGTTCCCTGGTATTATTTTTTGGCAGATTTTGTACTGAAATTTTACTTGCCAAAGTAGGGCACATTCTCTTGTAGGTGTGCTCTGCTTAATTCTCTGGTAGTTTGTTTCAGAGACTGGCTGATCTGTTCTTTGAAAGTATGCACATATTCCCTACCTTCTTTTCTGCCGGAAAGATTTGCAGTTGAAGGTTTCATCTCCTCAGAAATTCCTGGTTCATGATTTTAATACTTTTCTTGGGCTGATGTTGTATATTAAGTATTTTTGGTTAGACTTACTTAGTTTCAACCTCTCTTTCATATTTTCTAAACATTTCAATGCCTTCTGGGTACATTGTTTTTGGTACTGGGGATTGAACTCAGGGGCACTCTGTCACTGAGCCACTTCCCCAGCCCTATTTTGTACTTTATTTACAGACAGGGTCTCAATGAGTTGCTTAGTGCCTCACCATTGCTGAGGCTGGCTTTGAACTTGTGATCCTCTTTCTTCAGACTCTGAGTGTGCACCACTGTGCCCTGCTTACATTCTGGGTACATTTTTCAGATGTTTTCTAGTTCATTAATTCCCTTTGTAACACTGTCTAACCTGTTTGTGTCATCTATGTATCTATGTATTGATTTTTTTTTTTTTTTTTATACTAGGGATGGAACTCAGAGTACTTTACCACTGAGATACATCCCCAGTCCTTCAAACTTGTGATCTTCCTGCCTCAGCCTCCCAAGTAGCTGGGATTATAGGTATATATCACTGTGTTTAGCTCTACTTTATTCTTGATTTTAACCATTATATTTCTCTTGTTTTTCCCAAGTCTGGGGTGTCTGTTTATGAATGAAGTCATGCATGATTTTAATGCACAAGAATCTTGCAGGCTACCTTGGGAAAACTTCCCTCTGAGGTTCTTCCTATATCCAAAATGTAGCCCTACTCCATCCCTTGCTCCCCAAACCCAGCCCCAGGGTAAACCACCTTCCCTGCCACTTGAATTGCAACCATGTATTTAAAAAAAATTTTTTAGTTGTAAATGGACATAATATCTTTTTTTTTTTTAATGTGGTGCTGAGGATCAAAGCCAATACCTCATGCATGTGAGGCAACCACAGGCCTGTTTGCTTGTTTTTTTGGGGGACAGGGTCTTGCTGTTACCCAGGATGATACTGAACTTGTAGGCTCAACTGATCCTCCTGCATTAGCCACCACACCTGGCTTTCAGCCATACCTTCAGTTCCTATCTCTGTTCCCAGGTGCTCTTGCCCAATACTCAGGGCACAGAGGTTTAGTAATAGAAAACCTAGGCCAAAGCCTCCTCAGAACCTTTGCCCACAAAACCTCAGCTTAGGTCTTGCCTGCTTCTGTGGGAGCAGGTGGAGAGAGGTAGTTTCTCTAAAACTTTTGTTTGTTCTAAGATAAAAATGCCTCCAGGAGTGGAGGAACTTTGGATTAGGCAAAGGGGAGGGATTATGGGAGTAGAAAAGATGATGGAATGAGATGAACATCATCATCCTAGGTACATGGTTTTTTTTTTTTTTCCAAAGATGTTAAAGAAGGGAGACTGCTTGCTGACTTTGAATCCAATATCCTTGCCAACCTATTTTATTAATTCAAATAATCTATCAATGGTTTCTTTTGGGTTCTGTACAAACAATCCTATTATGTGAGAATAATGCCACTTTCTTCCTTCTCTTACCCCTTTGCTTCTTTTCAGACATTTACAAATGAGAGTTGGCATCTCCAACCTGAAAGGACGCTTTTGCTCTCTTGCTGTCACACACGACACTTCCTGAAGGCCTTTCCCTCCTTCATGGACCTTTTCTTCTCATTTGTTAAGTTTTTATAATGAATGGATGTTTAGTTTAGTGAATGCTTTTCTCCATCTGCTAATATGTATACTAAATTATACAAAAGTTAGATGTAACTTCCAGAAGTATTTATAATTCTCCAATATTTTAGGAATGAGTTAATCAATTTTTGCATTGCATACTCCTTCTTTGTATTACTTGTGTATAATTCCAAAGAAAATATAAAGTGCTTTAAAATAAATTTTTTGTTCCCACAGTTCTCATAGTAGATAAAACATTACTGATAGACTGCTATCAAAAAAACAGCCAATATCTAAAATATTACTTTTCTCCTTAAATGTAGGACACATGAGTGCGTTCAACCATTAAGGATCACCTGGAAGGCATTCATAAATGCAGGTGACACCCCTGCCCAAACACTCCCAGCCAGATGCAGCAGGTCTTGGGAGGGACCTGGGTTCCTGTGTGCCACTGCTGGTCCAGGCCCACCATGAGAACTACCACCACCAACCAGACTCTGAACAGCTATGGGAGGGGAGAAGTGAACAGGTGTGTGAAGTTGGGCCGAGTGTGTAAGCAAGTGCTGGGGGCATGGGCAAGACACAGGCCGGTGCTGCTGGCTTGCAGATGAAATTCATCTAGCACCATGGAAAGGCCAGGGGAGGGTCAGGAGAAGAGAGGAAACAAAACAAGCTCGGCATCCACAGGGCTACCTTTGTTTTAAACATTCAGTCCTAACATTTACCTTTTAAAATATTCCACTTCCCTCTCAGTCTCATCCATATCCACACTGTCCAGGTCGATATCTTTAGGCAGAAAGACATCATCTGCAAAATGGAAGAGAAAATGCACATCATCTCACAACAGCGGCCATTCCACCAGGAAGAGCCAACCATCAGCATTACATAATTTAAACATCTTCACAAATGGTAACAAATTCTTCTAAAAGGAGCAAAGGCCAAAGGAGGGAAGATCTCGGTGCTTGTCCAACATCCAGGTCCATTCATGTGTTTGCTGAGCAAAGCAACTGCTGCTTCAGGTCACATTAGCTGGAACCCAGACAACCCAGATGTCTGGTCATTAAATGACAGCCAGTCCTCCAGGCGCACTTTAGAGTTCCCCAGAAACCGCTGCCAGAGAGCTCAGGAGTGGTCCTAAGTCTCTGCTGGAGGTGAGGAGAAAGGGAGGGTGCAGCTGTCGACAGAAGCTGCCCAGGTGGTAGGCCCAGGGCAAGGAAAGCACAGTCCCTTGCTTGTGCCCTTGACAGAGAGAAGACCCACACATCCCCCCTAGGAAGGAGCTCTCCAAGACTTGTGCCTCACACACACCAAAACTTCCCTGAGAGCAAAAGGCACAGGTGCCTTTTATTCTGTAGTTGAGTACCCACTTTTAAAAACAGAGGATTCAGGTTCACTCAAATTTTCTACATTCTCAGCCACATTGAGAACCTCAAGGCTCTCTCCTGCTGGCCCACTAGTCTCATTTGTTCTTGAGAACCCCCAGGCCCTGCTGAGGTTGCTGGAGTGAACATGTGTGGCACATGGATGGCATCAGCCCCGTCAATGCAAATGCAGAGGACAGAGACACCCTACATTTGTTAAAATCAAAATCTCTATTCCCAGCAGACCCCCATGGAGACCCTGTTTCTTCCTGTCGATGGAGCATTTGCACAGTGGTGTAGCAGAGGCATGTCTTGCTTGCCTTATAGCAGCTGCCATCTTGGTGGTGCATAGCTGAGTGGGTGCCCTCACATCCATCAGCTCAAAGAATGTCACAAGTGTCTCTATGAGCACAGGCAGGACCAGAATCCCTCAGCCCTTTACAAGACAATATTTAGGACCCTAGTCTTCCTCCTGTTTCTCCCCACTACCTCAACCACACCCCTGTAGGTTTGAATAACTGGCTAGAGGCAGATGAGCCCCAAACCTCAACCCCTACTTGGGACCTCATTCCACCAGGTTGAGCACCAACAGGAGCAGGACTGTACCCCACAGGGCCTGCTGAGAGTGCTCCTTTTCCAAACGTCTGATTGTGGAGACATGACTTAAACATGACTCTTCCCCTCCACATGCCTTTCTCCATGCTCACAGTCCTCCTAGTCAGTGGGACTGTGGCACCCCCCCCCCCTCCAGCCTAGTCGTAGCCTGCCACTCATGCTTCTGCACAACTCCCACCACAACCCCACGTGGCAGTCCAGCTCCCAGTCAGAAGCATTCCTCCTCCAATGCCCAGATATACTGGAGTCAATGATGTGGCATGGTGCACTCTCCGACCCCAACCTCCACAGCCACTGCCCTGCACTCTCCTCAATGCAGGGCCACTGTCAGCTCCCTCCAGGCCATGTTTCACTTTTTATGAAGTGGATGAGGCTAGGGTGGTGACACTGTCATCACATTAAATGATATACGTGAAAAAGCCTGGAGCAGATCAGATGCTCACTCTTTAAACAAAATATGGTTATTTTAAAAATATTAAGTACAAGAAGTTTATGACCAGACATCTGGTTATGTCGACTCCAGAAAATCACATGCCTTGTCCTGGTGATATAGGAGGAAGAGTAAAAATAAGCAGAAAGGCAATTTGGGCCCCTTCAAGGTCAGGTCTCTGTGCAGCAGGGTTGAGAAACTATAGACACAAGCTAGGCCTCATCCTATGTAAGCAGAAAAGCTAACTTATAATTGGGTCCCATTAGCTGGAACCCAAACAACCCAGATGTCTGGTCTGTTGCCTAATGCCCAGATCCCCTCCAACAAGGCACCAACAATTAGGTAGCCTGATTAGAACAAAGGGTACATGAAGAGCTCTTGGACACTGACTGCTTTAGCCAAGAATGGGTTTGGGGTTAACTTCCTGAACTCCACAGACTCATATAAACCCCTAGATAACAGAAACCTGTTGGCAAGCCTTTCTTGGGACCCCTCCCCTTCTTTCTTCCTGTTACTTTGTTTCTACCCTTCCACTATTTGTGTCTGTGGATTTCATTCTTTGAATCTGAGAGACAAAGAACCCACCCAACCCCAAGCTCCATGCTACAGTGGTCCTCCCTGCACCTGCCAGCTCATTTTACATCCTTGAAGGCACAAAGCTGGCCCTATTACACTCTGGAGGAAGAGCAACAAGTCTGGGGAGAAGCAACCTCCAGGAATCTCAACTAAGAAGGAGGGAAAAAGAATGAAGTTTGAGCCAGGAGTGATGGTGCACACTTATAATCCCAGCAAGTTTGATAACAACTGGGCAATTTGGCGAGCTCCTGTCTCAAAATAAAAAATTGCTCAGAATGCAACCCAGTGGTACAACAACCCTGGGTTCAGTCCCCAGAAGCATACACACACACTACTCAGAGGAAATGCAGCCAACAGAGAGGCTGCTCCAGGCCTGAGACTGGATTGTGAGATTAAAACAGCAGGGGGGGAAAAAAAAGGCAGAAGAAAACTGGCCATTCATCCAGGAGACAGATGCAGGAGAAAGAGGGTGGGCAGCAGCCTTTACAGGTGTGAAGAAGGTGAGACTTCACAGCACTCTATGGACAGCTCTATGAGGTAGGTTAGTCAGCCATGAATAGGTGGGTAGAGTGCCTGTCTACCATGTGTGAGGCACTGGATTCAATTCTCAGCACTGCATATAAATAAATAAAATAAAGGTCCACTGACAACTAAAAAATTATTTAAAAAAAATTCATGAGTCATAGCTGGGCACATCAATGCACGCCTGTTATCGTATCAGCTTAGAAGGCTGCAGCAGGGGGATTGCAAGTTCAAGTCCAGCCCCAGCAACTTAACAAGACCCTAAGCAACTTTTTGAGACACTATCTCAAAATTTAAAAATAAATAAGTAAAAACATGTGTGATGCAGCTCACTGGTAAAGTGCCCCTGGGTTCAATCCCTAGTACAAAAAGAAAAAAAAAAAAAAAATCCATGAGTTATAAAACTAGAACCTCAGGAAACTTAAACTTATCAAATATCAAAACAGGCAATCACTATAAGAATGAGAAGCTGGGTGCATGGGTGCATGCCTGTAATTCCAGTGGCTCAGGAGGCTGAGACTGGAAGATTGCGAGTTCAAAGCCAGCCCCAGCAAGGGCTAGCCAACTAAAAACTAAGCCAACTCAGTGAAATCCTGTCTTTAAAGAAAATACAAAATAGGGCTAGGGATGTAGCCCATGGTCAAGAGCCCATGAGCTCAATTTGTGGTCCAAAAAAAAAGAGAACCAGAATGTCCAACCTTCTCCAACCAGTAGATAAGGGACTTAAGGGAGCTATTGTTTCCAGACCACATCTGATGGCATTATCTCCAATGACCAGGTCACCAAGATCCTTCCTTATCACCAAATAAGTCACCACCACCCAACCACCCCTTGTGATGATGACATCAACACCCATACAGAGAAAGTTTGCTGTTGAGAGATATTTAAAGGGTAATAAACTGATGGGGGTGGTGGCTAAGAAATTGAGGCAAGAACAAGGAGACTTAAAACCCTAGTCCTCACTTTGTCGGGATCATGTTGGCCTCCCAGAGGTGATCTGTTTGGTCTCTCCAGATTTCCTAGTAAACTCTTGCTTGTAACTCTATGCAACTCACATGAGATTCTTTTTTTTTTTTTTTTTTTAATTTTTAGTTGTAATTGGACACAACATCTTTATTTTATTTTTATGTGGTGCTGAGGATCAAACTCAGGGCCTCGCATATGCTAGGCGAGCGCTCTACCGCTGAGCCACAATCTCAGCCCCTCACATGAGATTCTTCTGGCAAGATCTCAAGGACCACAGCTGAGAATCCCAGTGACCACTTGGGCTCTGTGGGTATCTCACTCCGGGAAGTGGGTGCAGAGGGAGACTGGGCGGTATGCCTGCTGGGAGTGTTGTCACCACAGTGCTGTCCTGATCAGAAATCATCATCAGGGGCTGGGGATGTGGCTCAAGCGGTAGTGCGCTTGCCTGGCGTGCGTGCGGCCCGGGTTCGATCCTCAGCACCACATACAAAGATGTTGTGTCCGCCGAAAACTAAAAAATAAATATTAAAATTCTCTCTCTCTCTCAAAAAAAAAAAAAATCATCATCAATCTATAACGTCTTGGTGTGAGTAAACTGTGAAGCAATTTTAACTGGATTCAGTATGAGAAAGACTGTTTACAATAACACTACTGTATTAAAAAGCAAGTGTAACTCAAAAATTTTAAATCCAAGAAAGCTGTGTGTTCACTGTCAAGGACAGGCAAGAGTTAACTTCCCCAGAGTTCGGGGAATTCTGGGGCCCCACTAGAGGTGAAGTGCCCAAGGGTACTCAAGGATGTGCTTCACTTACCCAGAGGAGGGGAATGCCCAGCAGAAGGCCTGAGGAGTATTATCACATTTAACTGTGTGCTTAAGCAGAAATAATGGAAACAGGGAAAATAAAAAGCAGAAAGAGAAGGGACAGGAAAGAACAAAGTAGGAAGAATGGAATTAGCTTTCTGGCTGCTATGGAAGCAATGACTGGGTGTTAAAGGATCCCAAATGCCACCATGGTGGGCTATGAGAAGGCATGCAGGGAACCCAGGTGCTCAAGACACAGGGTAGGTATGAAGAACTCTGCCACCAAACCCTGCTGAAGTTTCCTCCTTCAGAGCCAGTGCTGGGCAAGGGGCCTAGTGGGCAGGGTTTGAATCGTGGGAGCAGAGCTTCACCAGTGGATTCAGTACTCCTAGCATGAGTTTGCTCTTGGGGGACTGATCACTCACCTGGAACATGGTTGTTATAAAGAAAGCCATCCCTAATGTTCTTTCTCTTTGGGACTTGCCTGCTTGCTCTACTTTCTATCTTGTGGTGAAGCGACAAAAGGCCCAGTACC